TACAGTCATCTACAAGCTTTGCAAGTGGAAAAACCTGAAAAATCAACAGTGTATCAAATACTTGATGTCCCCACTGTATATAATTCTAAACTCATTATTATGAAATATTTTTTCATTATTCTTTAAAAAGCTGCTTATTATAAAACATTTCACAATGGAATTTTTTATCACAAAAATATGACCTATTTTTGAGTCATTTTTATTTTAATTCAAGCCGTTATTACTCAAATGTCCTTTTATCTAGCTTATTTATTTCATAATAACACTTTTCAACAGAATAACTTGGCCTGTCAATCAACGTCAGTGGGTTGGACCTGCACTCTCATTGCCTGATCCATTAGTTTTCCTGAAACTGTTCTCTTGGGTACAACTTCTTGTCTGAAACACCGGAAGTAGCCGGAAGCTAATGGAGAGAACAGACTGCGGTATATTGAAAGAAATTTGCGTTAGGTTTAGCAGAACATACTTCATTTTTGTTGTCTAGTACAGCCTTGTGGAGTTCAGATATGTGCTGTTTTGTTTGCACAGCTGCACAAACAAATAGATCAAACTGAATCAGTGGCTACAACRGTGTTTAGAACACGGACATAAAACACCATAAAAAAGTGCTCCGGTGAAAAATGGTATAATTTACATCACCTTCCTACCTGCCTGGCCTGCTCAGTTCTAGTTTCCTTCACTGCTCCGTCTGGGATTTCTCCCACAGACAAGGATTTCTTCAGTAGAATTTCGTTTGGGCCAATCAGAGAACAGAAGGAGGAGTTTTGAACGACGTTGATGTTCTGCTCAGTGTCTGCTAGTTATTTTAGCATATGGCAGTGGAGGAAGTGAATGAAGCCAGTCTGTGTTGATAAGACTTCAAATTAAATTAAATATGTCTGACAAAGCAGCAGCTCTCATTTACAGTCGTCTCGTTCGGCTCTGTAAAATTCATGCAATGTGCAATACACATATTCTAGAATATATGTGTATCATAACCACTACTATCATCGGTGAAGTACCATATCACCCATAAATAAATACCATAGCACCCTGCCTCTACTGTTCTGCTATTTCTGTTACCCAAATTTTGCTGTTGTTTTCTTTGCTATTTAGTTAATATTTGCTGTTTGACATTTTGATTTTACACTGTATATACAGTGGGGAAAATAAGTATTTAGTCAGTCACCAATTGTGCAAGTTCTCCCACTTAAAAAGATGAGAGAGGCCTGTAATTGACATCATAGGTAGGAATGACCTCAACTATGAGAGACAAAATGTGAAAAAAAAATTGAGAAAATCATTTTGTCTGACTTTTAAAGAATTTTTTTCACACACACGCACAATAAC